CTCACCACAGAATAGACTGGTTTACCCACGATAGCATGGGGTTTTTCCAAAAACTCCTAATGTTAGCTTAATTCTGACACCACTGAGATGAATGGACTTACTCATTTAAATGGAGCAGTCGAAGCAATGGCTGCTTGGTTTTGTTCCTTGCTCTGCAGGACTTCGGGATCGTCTTATGTCTTGGAAAGTTTATTATTCTGTGGTGATCATCGTGCCTGAGCAGGCCACAGAACAGGTCCTTACCCTTCCTTACCTCGCTTTCCCATCCAGCCAAGCAGGACTGCCACTGAGCTACCTAAAAGTAGTTCAGAGCAATTTTGGTTCTGATGTAAGAGGACCTGTGGTAGTGCAAAGCACGACTTTTCTCTGAATTGGTCTCCTGAGCTTCTGGAAATTCATTCTGCCCATCTGTCCCTTTGCAGAATCTAAGGGAAGAGAATGAACTCCTGAAGCGTCTTTTGCAGTCTGCAGAGGTTTCTTCCTTTCCTGGTTTTTCACGAGCTCGAGCTCCGACCCCAGCTCGTCAACAAGGATTCCTTCTGTTTGGAAATCCGTATGCTGGTGAGATTACTTGGCATTCTTTGTGAAACCGCACATTATCAGCAGCACCTCTGTGCAGCTTTGCGTGGGTGCAGATGAGTTGGCAGCTGCAAAATGGTGCCAGGTGTTGAGAGCTGACTCAAGTGATCAGCTGCCTGTTCATCTTCTGCCAAGAGAGACAACTACTAACTGGTTTCCTCAGCTGTGAGGCAGCTAGTTCTGTGGCTTATGTCCAGTTTCCATAGTCCTAAATATAGAGGTTTAGACCCAGAGCCACATCCTCATGTTTCAAGAATTACCAGTTATCAGCACGTTCTGTTGTCGATCGTTTTGTCGTGGCTAAACTGACAGCTGTTTTTTCCAGCTGCAGGAGCAAACCTGGAGGCAGAAGCTGCAGGCTTGGTAAGTAAAGTGGACACGACTGGACATGAATTTGTGGTTTACGGATGCAAATTAGTGATTTGAAATAAAAAACTCCCAGTTCAGCTCTGTAACCAATTGTCTATGTGCTGGTTTAGTCCTGGTAAGACAGCAGACAACGAAATGGAACTGTGTCTGCTTAATGCCTGGAATTATTATATGTTTTAAGGAAGAGAAGGGAAACTGTTGGCCTTAATCTTTAAGGACCGGCTCATGGCAGCATGTGATGTCAGAATGAGCAGCATGAAGCTGTTAAACACCTTATTCCATTTTGGACATGTGCTATGTAGGGTGGAAAGTTAGAGAACCTCTCCGAAGCTCTTGACTTCTGTGTGCTATTTAGGGAAGCCTGGAGACATTTGAAAACTTGAGAGTATTAGAAAGACTTTTCCAAAAGTTACACTATCTGACTGCTAAGCTTTGCTGTTTCTTGTCTTTGAATATAATTTTTAAACTGACTGTATTTGCATTTGCTCTGTACTTCAGGGTTCTCTGAGGAAATGCCCCATGTGTGATGAAGTATTCCCTAAACATATTGAAGCGAGTCAGTATGAGGCCCACATGCAGAGCCATCTTCTGGAGTGCCCTGTCTGCAGTGAGACCTTTGAAAAATCCAACAAGCAAGTGTTTGATGACCATGTTTTTTGTCACGACCTGGAATAATTCTGAATTTGTGTCTGCTCTGTAGAATAGGTGGCTGGAAAAAAAAAAAAAAATTGCTGTGTAGGCTTGTTTCATGCTAGCGAGGTCACCCAGGCAAGACTGACTATGCCACTAGCACTGTAATTCTGAGCTTTCTGTTCATGCAGCACATGACCAGCACATAAATCAGGTCAGACAACCACAGCCTGAAACTGAATCACCATCATCAAACTTAAGTCCTCTGCCTTGGATCAATATATATGCTTGTTAAATGAGTTACGAATCCTAGGATTAGCAATGTAGTTTAATGTGGAACCAGTTCTTCAGAACAGGATTGGCCACGTAACCGTTCATCCAGGTAGGATCCAAGTGGTGGGATGCAGTGCAGCAGTTTTCTGTACTTGGCTGATACACATCTATTATAATTGGTTTAGCCTTTATGTAGTATAGCGCTGTGATTGCTAACCACAACCCAGAAACATTGTGTGATCTTTTAGGATCACACCTTCCATCCTGCTCAGCTTCTGGAATGCAGAATTAAGAAGTAAGATTAAAAAAAAAAAAAAAAAATACACTTCTTCTTTCAGCATCAGTCATAAAGCAAGTGAAAGAGGTGTATTCCTAGAGACCAAATATTCCTAGATCCGAATATTGCAGGCCAATATTTTGCAGATCCGAAGGTCCAGGGCCCCCCTGCCAGCAGAGCAGGCAGCCCGGTTTATTCTAGGGTGGGGCACATGCACCATTTTCTCCATCTGTCCCAGAATGAGGAAAACCCGAAATTCCCGAAACAGGGAAGGTCAGTATGGTGTGGAGCCCATGGAAAAGTTGTAGCTGATTTGTCTTGGCAGCACAGAGGAGAAATGGTCTCTCAGTCGGGAACTGGGCATCCTCATTTGAAGCAAATGATGAATTTGGATTATTTCTCTTTTCTGTAAGTTTCTAAATCTTCTTGATTTAACAAGAAGAGCCTGTTCTCAAACCAAAACATCATGATCCAGAACTAAGTGCCTTGGGATATTACAATGCTTTTTGCACAGATTATCCAGTTACTATTTTTATTTCTGCTTTGGGATTTTCAGTTTATGATTAACAGCTCTTTTCTCCGTGCAGACAAAAATGGGTAAAGGTTTATTATCCAGCTGTATTAGACTGTTCCCTGCTGACTATCCAAAGCAATAGAAAATCCTTAAAAGTTTATGTAGAGTTTTAAGAATATTAAGAGCTACAAAGACTTCAAAGCATTCTACTGTTTTGATTCTGTACACATAAACTTTTTATCAATCAAGGTTTAAATAGAGTATTTCTGCCTCAAGATGTACTATACTAGTAAGCTTTATTTAAAAAAAAAACAAACCTGTAACAGAAAATAACCGCAAAGAAAAATAAAAACTATGCAAAGAAAATCTTGGAAAAAGCTGTCTGTGTCCTTTCGTTCTTACAGAAATAAATTGTGCCACGCGGTATCCCTGGGGGTAGCAGGGCTGTTTCTGGTTCACAGAAAGCAAATATTTAACAGGCTGATCCTCGCTGGCTCCCTTCTCACAGCATGGGAATGTATGAGGAAGGCCAAGGGATGGGATGGGATGGGATGGGATGGGATAATAAAAACGAATCAGGAAAGTAAAATGAGCTGTATGGGATCTGTTTATATCCATTCCCAACAGCGCTGATGTAAAAACCTAGAGCTGGCTGAACTTCTGCTGCGTCGCAGGAACAACCAGTGTATCCATACTTTTTTGCCAAGGCTAGGAGAAAAAGCTGAAAAGCTCCTCAATAAAATGTTTTTTTAAAAATAGTCAGTATGGTACATGTTTAGACGTTATTGATTACTGTAGTATATCTCAACATTCCTGGCATAGCTTTGTTCCAATTTGAACAATCAAACATTCCATCAAAACAAGGCTCATTTTTAACTCGAACACTTGTTTCCTCAGGAAAAAGTCCCATTGTTTTTCAAGAAAATGCTTTTCCCTCCCGACCTTTTCCCGTACGTCCTCATTCTAAACGACGTTTTTTCTCCTTTTACTGCTTTGCCTCTTGACAGAAGCAGATCAAACGTGGAGAAACACAAAAGCAATTTTTATTAAAGCCATGATATTTCACCCAAATTCCAGTTACCAGACCTCTTTCCTTTCTGCACTCCTGCTAATACTGGCTTTAGAGGCTCGGATCCCAAACCCCGACCCAGTCACGATGCCCTCGAGCTACTGGTGCCAAGCGTGGGTGCCCCCGAATTGCCTCTCCACCCCTGTTACACCACTACCCATCGTTTTCCACTTGCCTGCTCCCATCATTTCTCCAAATCTCAGAGCCCTTTGAGGCGCCGGCCCTGGCCCGCAGGCAGCAAGCGGGTGACCGGCAGAGGGGGTCAGACTGCAATAAATCTCATGAGGATGCTGGTTTTTTGAAGTATTTTAAGGTCTGTCATTTGTTTTTTGTAATAATGACACAGATTCAGGCTCCCAGCCATCTACTTCGGCCTGATGCAGGTCATACCTTCCCTGTCCCGGGCAGCCAGGGACCAATTTACCCCTAAGCACAAATTACATCCTATATTTTCTGACCAAGTTTTCATTTTGCTTGTAATTTCCAACATTATTTATGTTACTGCTGCGTTTAGCCTTTGGAATCATAAGAGGTTTCAATCCTGGCTCAATTTTATGGTTTAATACGGAAGTGGCTCAAATGGCTGATAATTAGATATAGTTATAATTTGGATGAGATCCAGTATTACCTTGATACATACTGGATAAATAAATTTTCAAAGGGACAGTAGGGGTTTGGCACAATTTATACCCAAACTCATGTAGCATCTGAATGGACACTCCTTAGAAGTGTGTCTAAAAGGAAGAAGTCACACTTTGTGGGCCACATCTCTGTGAATATATAGATATATATTCACATTATATATATAGATAGATGTATATTCACATTATTAGATATATATTTCTGTTTTCCTGGAGCATTTTCTATTCTATCATCTATATGCTATCTCTAGCCTCTTCTTTTCCCTCATCCAGGCAAACCTGCTCAGCTCTGGAGAGCTTTTCTCCCTGTGCTTCGTCCTGTGGCTTCTCCCTCATTTTTCTCAGACCCTTTGCCTTCCTTTTCCAAGAAGTTGGTTCTGCCCTTGAGCTTTCTCTCTCATTCACACGGAGTGTATCTTGAATATATCTGTCCCTGTCCATGGCACATCATTTTCCAGTTAACAGGAATGTTTCTGTGTGAGTAAAATGCAACCCAGGTGATACTTCTCTCAGCAAAGATATGCTGCTAACCATGGTCGCAGAGGGCATCACATCCCAACTGATGTCAGCTCGTTTCACTGGGAAAAGTTTTTTTTGATGCAGAAAAAAGAGCCCAGCCACATGAGATGGTTACAGATTCCAGATTCCCAAACTCTTTCGACCCTGAAAGTCAGAGTATTGGGCTGCTGAAATAACTGACTGGTGGCTCAGCTTCTTTCAGAAAGCAATTCCCAGTCATACAGCCACAGTCCCCTTCCTCACTTGAACAGCCTCCTTCCTCCACTCCTTCTCTTCCTGGTTCCTCCTCATCTATCCACGTCTTCTTTCCTCTCCTGCAGAACAATTCGGACCTTCGGCATTGTCAACCTCCTCCAAAAAACACTGTGCTGAGGTTTGGGCTGTGGACGAGGGGGAGGCAGAGGCACGGAGCACGCCGTCTGGGAGCACTGCTGCCGGTTCTCTTCATTTCACCTTAATAAGGATCCCGCGGAGACTGGAGGAAGCAAAAAGGAAATCAAAAGATTCCTGACAAAAGGAAGGTAAATAAACAAGACACAGGTGAACAAAGGAGGAAAAGCCATGTACAAGCCAGCAATTGAGTGGTTGTACTCGGTCATCAACTTGTCAGTTTGATTTTTAAGACATAGCAGAAGAGATCAATAATCCTTTAGGGCAGTATAATGCCCAGCCAGGGTTTAAAGTGTTTTGATCATCCAAGTCCTTATTTCAGGGATCAGTTCTGTGCTTGGTAAGTGGAAGTGCTTCTGTGTTTGACACGTCAGTGAAGAGGGCAGAGAAGGGAATGGAATGGTGGAAAAAAGTGTCCTACAATGACAGACAGGTGTAGGTGGGGCAGAGAACCTGGGGAAGGAAATGCACCAGAGCCCTGAGAGGCTGAAAAATGAAGATATTACACCCGTGCAAAGGATTTTTTTGTCACTGGCATTATTTTGTAAGGAAACATTGTTTATCTTTGTTCCGCTGTGGAGATCCAGGCTGACTCCTGCTTGCAGAGGAGCCAATGAGCCCCTTTACCTCCAGTGCACTGGTACACATCGGGAGCGCTCAGTGGGAGATAACCGCCCAAAATCCAAACGCTGCCATTCGTCACCCTCTTTGCACCCAACTAAATCCCCACGTGAAACGCCCCGCAGAATCAAACCTTTACTGTTGTGTCGGGGGAAGGATCAGGTCCCAGAATTACATCAGTTGTTTTCTCTCAACAGCTATTAGCCCCCTCCATTATACTAACAGAACTGGTTTCCATCCTCTGGCTCATTTATTCCACACCAGCATTATTGAAGTGAATGGGGTCCAGGCCCTGGATATTAGAAGAGCTGTTGGTCTACTCATAAATAACGAGTTGTCACAGATTTTAATGGAAACCCTTGGAGTGCTGTAAATCTGGGCAGTTCTGCCCGTATCCCCTCCCTCATTTCCATCACAATATCACTCCAGTGGGACTGCAGCTTGCAGCATGTGCCAGGCAGCCCAGATTGGTAGGACACGGGGGAAGGA